TATTTTTTTATTATATCAATCATTTCGTATTTTAAATTATATTTACACAAAACATGCTATAATTGATCGTATGAGGTGCTACAACCTTTTCATCCCCAGCATTGCCGCAAGTTCTTCTCTGATTTATTTGCTGAGCTGTTGTTTACATGCGATGAACGTAGATTCCATTCTCATGGGTTTGTCTACATTTGTCGTGTGCAATTTCGAGCTTGATGTGAAATGTGCTACTGTAATAGCACCTTAAAACAGTGAGGACCAGTGGCTAATAGAGATGAAGAGACAGTCCCAGTTGTGCCCCATGAAGCAATATGAATTCTACAATATTAAACCCTAAACCTAGAAAAAATATTTTGAAAGCAGCTTTTGATCGAGCTGAACTTAAACGAAAAAGCTCAATCAAACTCAAGATGAGTCTTGAAATTTTAATTTTTAAATCAAATTGAAGCTTCGAATTTGAGGTTTTCAAATAAAATTAAATTTGAATCTTATAATGAATCGAGTCAAATCAAACAGAATTTGAACCATTCAATGAATAAAGCCTTCTCAATTACACCCTCAACTGAACAAATTTAGGTACATTTTATTTCTTATTGAATGGTTGGTTTCTGGGATACTTTTAACATTTCTTTAACACACGGAACGGGGAGCGGATAGGATGTATATATGGAACTATATATTTGGGCGGCACACCTATCTTTCCAAGTATTCTTTATTCCATGATGTTGGCCAAATGACCCTTGTTATTCACATCATCATGGACATTAAACTTGATTGACTCATTTATAAAACCACTATGCCTAAATTAGAATTTATAAGAAAAACAAAGCACTTCTACAAACATTCGACAAAGTTTGAACCAACTACTTAAAACATATGCAGAATAGTATGATACCCAGGGATGAAGGAATGTCATCCATAAAACCAACATAGACTCCAGTCTAAATGTCATTATCTTGCAATTCAATTTAAAGGATTCTCACAATGATGATATTCAACATGGTTCTCATGTCAAATACAGGATTAGTGAAGGATAAGAAGAGTTGTTGAACAGATTGATCTCTGAGCTGTTCTCAATCCACTTGTTTTCATTTAAGCATATAAGATACCACTACCCTTTCAACCATGTGTTTCGATATGATGAGTTGTCACGCAAAGATGCATCATGGTGCTTGTATTCCATAACATAGCTGTGGGGAAGCTTTAAGTGCCGTTTAATTGAATCTCTTAAGGCCATAACAGCCTGGTATAAACAAAACATGATCAAGATATTATGCAGAGAGAAAGGCAGAGAAACACAATAGGAAAATTGGTAATTGTTAATTGCTAACCTGGTGATCCGATGCATTACGATTCCATACACTCAATATATCCTCATTGAAGCGAATGCTCAGTACAGCACCACAAATGTTATCGCCATAATCAAGTTGATCGCCGACCAAGGCAAGAACCTGCAAGCACATGCAAAAGTAAATGACTAATATTAAATGTCCATCATCTGGTGCCCAACACAAGGCACTATTTCAGACAACCAATCACAGATTAACTACCACATTTCACACAGGCCACAAAGGGAAAGATTAATGAGCGTCCACAATTTTACTGTATACAGTACTTCATACAGAAGCACATTAGCAAATAAGAAATCCTATGCTCTATGTATTAGTTTATTTTATAGTTTAAACTTGGGATGCCTCTTTAAAGGAGCAATGTGGTAACATTTAGGCTATACATTAGCCACAGGAAAACCTAAACGTTAATGAGTAACAGAAAAAAAGGGTAAAAATGTGCTTCACTGGAGAAATTTGAACTACAATTCATGAACCTTTTGACATGACAAGAGACTACTAGTTTTCAAACCAAAGGTTGGTGAGAAACAAATATGACCAACTTCTTCCCATCTAAGAAAAAAAATGTCCATTATCATCGTATACATTGGGAATTGGCATTTTCAGGCATTAAATACCTTAGGGACGAAATTTTCCTTTGATAGTGGGCCCCAATGTATATCAGTAGATGTACATGTACCTAGCTACTTTATGCACAGAAATAATGACCTCTATTTGTACGAACATACTTACTAAAGCATTGCTTCATCTTTTTTGAAAACCTCCCGACCATTGGTAGATTTAACAGAGACGAATACCTCACATGGAGGAAGCAGAGAGATAGAAATATTGAACTCAATAATTTTAAGATTTCTATCTCTCATAGCTTAATCCCAGCAGTCAGGGAGTTCTACTGTTAATGAAACTCGAAGTAAAGTATTTTCTAGGACTGACTAATGACATTCTGCACCTTCATCCTAAACAATATTACCGTATCACTATACTTCCATGAAATGGTCTAAAGAAGTTAAATAAACCATAAAACTTTTCATTTAGCCATAGATCGGGTCAGAATGAAGTATATGATTCAATTAAGGTGAAGTTCCATCATTAAGATTATAATTGAAAAGCTCAGTTGCTGATTTAAAAGAGACTTGTGAACTTCTTCATACAACAAAACCAAATTGGAATATAGAAAGGCACTTAGTATATGCAATTATGCACTATTCTTTCTTACCAGATCTTCCCAAAAGCGACCAGAAACAACCTTTTTGAACCGAATTATCCACTTGCCACCATTGCAGTTTGCAGAGTCCTGAGATATAACAAATTTCAAAGACGTCAAAAATGAATCACATTATATAAAATGTTCAAGATTTGACAGCATCACTTCAATTATACAACTTTATGACAAAATTTTATTGTTATTGGAACAAGCAGTTTCAAAGTCAGGTATTCAATAATTACCATCCCATAGTGGACGGATTCCTCTTTGAATAAATGCAAATCTGTTTGGACTTGGCAAAGCTAGAAAGGACGGGCCAAATACAAATAACAGACCAAAAACCTCACCTATATACACATTATGCTTAAGAAGTTACAACCATGATCAGCAAATTGAATTTGAACAAATGGAAAGAAAAAAAAAAAAAAACACTTATACCCAAATTCAGGATTTACCAAGCCGAATTGCATTTAGCTTATGGTCTTATAAATAGAAACTTACTGTCTGAAATCCACAATTTCTTTTATGTTGTCCCCATAGGGCCTGTTTGGGTTCGAACTCCAGGTGTCCGACGAGTGTACCCAGAACACATATTTGTGCCTGTCCAAAGGAATGCGAGAACAAAATAAGGGACTGCTAGGTAATGAATTTAGTATTTAACAAGCTATCCAATGGTGTATCAGAAAAATGAGAAATATATCAACATCATAAAAATAGCAGACCTAAGTTACGCAGAACACAGATTGATTTTGATCATGGAATGGAACATGAGCTAGAATATAAACTCCACCTAGATCAGATGGTAGCATAGTGGAGATAATTTTGTTTTCCCTTTAATTGAAGTTGATTCATTTTGAACCTTAGTTAACTACGATTAATTATAGAACGTGCAGAAATTTAATTGTAGTTATATATTACTACACTAAGGTAGTAGGCTATCTACAAAACAAAAGAGAATCATTTTAAGGTATGGTTTCATCCTTTTTCATGGAGTCTATTCACATTTTAATCAGAACTTGGACTGCTTAATCCAATATGAGATTCTAAGTGTCAAGAGTGTAGGAATCTCCATGATAGGATGTAGGTACTCATTTTCCACTTCTCAGTGAAACATGCGCTTTTGCAACTAATATGATTAACCTAAAATTTAAACACAGCAGAATCTTTGGCATGATAAAACAAATTCAAATAATCAACTAAACAATTCAAAACTACCTCTCCATACCAAACAGAACTAAAAAAAAAAAACCTACAGCTTGTCAATTGCAGAAATTCTTTCACTGCTTAGTCAAATGGCTAGATCGAGTAAATCAATTCAAAATTTATCAGTTTTGAAAGAAAAATATCAACATTTCCATTGTATACACGAAAATTGAAAACGAGAAAAAACTTTTTAGCAAAATGAAATAAATTTATTGAAACGAAAATTCAGTATCTAAAAGAATAATGAAAGATTAAATCTTTATAATGTAAAATAATCAGTTCTCTTAACAAAGAAAAAGAGCTATAATCCACCATTAAACCTAACCATTTCCAAAACAAATTAAAATTGTAAACCGATCTATAAACCGATCTATAAAGAAAAACTTTATTCATATAAAATAAATAACACAAAAAAATAGAAAAATACCTTGAGTGGATGCAAACCGGCTTTGAGTTCACGAGCTTGGCGTTCTTCAGCGTCTTTATTCATATTATTATTATTATTATTATCAGAATCCGTAATTTCGCTGCTATTATTATTATTATTATTATTATTCAAATCTTTGCTACTGTTATTGCTCTCTGCTTCCTTTTTCTCCGTAGATTCCATTTTCGATTTTTTTTCCCAATTTTCGAAGAAGCCCTAACGTTGCTTTAACTCCTTTTACTCGTTTTCTTCTTTTCTGGGAACAATCCAATCAGTAAAGGAAGAAAGGGTTAGGAAAAGAGATGAAACGGTGCGTTGATTGTTGATATTTTTTGTTTGTGTCGTGTTTGGAAAGTCGGTTGGTTAGAACCGCCTAGGGCTGTTTGGCATCGTTCATCCTGATAGGGTTATCCTATGAAATTTATTGATTTGTGCCATTAAAAAATTAAAACAAATTTAGTTTTGAATTTAAATCCAATAAATAATACTTTTATTGATTCTATAACAACAAAATATTAATCTTTCTATAATAATTAAAAAAAAAAAAAAAAACAGCAACAACCTTGAACTTGAAGCCTTAAAGAAAGATTGGCCCCACTTTTTTTCTTTTTTTAGGTTAAAAGATAAAAAAAAAATTTCAAACATAAATTCAATCATTATATAAATTTTTATTCTTTTATTATAATAAATACAAAATATTTAAAATTTCAATTCAATTAAAATAAATTTTAAAATTAATTAATTTCAATAAAAATAATCAATAAAAATTATAAACTTAAATAATTTCTCTTCCTTTTGTCTACCTAATCAAACTGCTTTACAACCACACACGGCCCATCGCGTCATCAAATTCATCAAAGATAAATACGCTTCAAATTCAACTGTTCAAATCTTGAATTCTAAAGCCCCAAAGACTTCCCAAGAAGCAGCACAATTTTTTACAGCTCTTTTTTTTTCTTTTTTTCTTTTAAATAAAATTAACTGCCAACCAAGCCGGCAGATAATAGTTAGCCATTCCAAAAAATAGCCCTCACCCACCACCTTCCCCTCTCTTTCTCTCAAGATTATTTTTTTTAAATTTTTTCTGGGTTTGAATTTGCTCAGTTTCTTTTGCTTCTTGTTGTTGTTGTTGTTGTTGTTGTTTTGAATTTTCCTTCTTTTTGTGTTTTATAAATTGAAAATGGGTTCTTCTTCTTCTCTTCTTTTGTTCTTCTATATCATAGCTATTCATTCAATACGCTGCGTTTTGTGTTCTTCTATTTGCTCTCATGAAGCGGATGTATTCTTTAAAAATCTTCACTTTCAATGCTCTCCTTCAACCTCTCCAATTCCCCCTCTCAAGGTACCTTTTTTGGCTTAATTTTGGTGGAATTTTTATTTTTATTTTTAGATTGATTTGTTTTTTAGTTTAGGAAAAATGGGTTCTTGGGGTTTAATTATTTTTCTATTTAAGTAAAACTAAAAATTTTTTTAGTTTTTTGTTTGATTTTGGATTCTAGGCGTTTGTGATTTTGTCTAATTCTGTTAAAGGAAGGGAAATTTTTAGAAAATTTTGGGTTTTTTGCCTTGAAATATTAGGTTATTATCATGGATTTTTTTCATGGCTGTAAAATTTTGAAGAATAAAAGTTTATGGTTGATTTTTTGAATGTTTGGGGGTATTGGGCTGTTATGGTATAATTTATTTTGCAAAATTAAATTGATAAGAGAAAATAAAAATGAAGTTGCAAAATTTATTAGTCATTCATCCTATATTATTAGCCTTGGTTAAGGGCTTTGAGTATTTATTTGCTTCCAGAAGCTTTTGAATCGAGATAAGAGCACTTAGTATTTATGGCAACTAGGACTATGTGAAAGTAATAGAGATGCAGCTTGAGTCTCATATTCTAGGATTTAAACCTTATGCAATTCAGCTTGAATATAAGCCGGATTGTTCGGTTAACTGACATACTTGTGGCTCTATGGTGGTAGACCTAGGAATTTTAGACACAACACGGTGATATAACACAAAAAAAAAAAAGAAAAATCATAGGTGTTATAAAAAAACGTATTTCGTGTTTATTCATATCATATATATGTTAACTCGTTTAAATATGTTTAATTTAATTTTATTATATTAGTACACGTTTAATATGTTTAACACGTTTGACATATTGTTTATTTTTATTTTAATTTAATATAAATATATAAAAATTATTTTAATTTTTAATCTTTTAATTATGATATTTAATTAGTTATTTAATTTCATATAAAAATTATTGTAAATACTTAATTAGGATACTCATTTAATAATTATTATAACATTATTTTTTTATATTAATTATATAAATACAATATAAGTATTAATATTAGTCCTATATATTATTATTTTATTTTTTAATCTTTAATAGTTTATCATTTTGAATTTGATACTAAAATTTAATATAGTTATATAATATAAATTTAAATACATATTAAATACATATTAAATGAGTATTAAATTTTTTTATATTTTTAATATGTAAGTTTTTTTTTATACTATTAATACACCAAATTTTTTAAGTTGTAAATGATAGGTATTTTATATTTATTTATTATTTTAGTCGTGTTCTTGTATATATTCGTTTTAGTCATGTCTATTCGTATATATCTATGTTAGTCGTATCTATTCGTATATATCCGTATTATTCGTATTTATTTGTGTCATGTTTAACCTACTTAATTATATACATGTTAATCGTGTCATGTCGCATGTAACACGTATATTAAATATGTCATGTTCGTGTTTAGGATTTAAACACGTTTTATAATTCGTATCGTATTTGTGTTTTAATAATTTGTGTCATTACACGTGTCAAATACGACACGGAAATATAAATTGCCAGGTCTATATCGTGGCAGCATTATGTTGATTAGAATGTGGCTGGAAAAGAATCTATATGGCTTGATTACTAGGAATGTAAATTTTTTATCCTTTTATGACTCAAATCAGGGATAGGATACAACTCCTTCTTCATTCCCTACCTTTTTCCTCTCTACCTTCAAGGGCAATGTTTACTTTTTCCTTTTTTTTTTTTTTTTTGCTGCGGAGTTCTATATAATTTTGTTAAATGATACCATTATCTTGAGCATATGCAATTTCATTGCTGAGGATCCTCTAATCAACAAAATTTATGGTTCGTAGATTTGCCATATATCCTGTAAATTAGCTTAGATCATTGTGCCATCTGACTTTAAGATATGTTTCTAGGATTAATATTTTGCATGATTTGCTTCTTAAAGACAAACATTCTGATAATATTTTATTTCTCATTTGGTTTGCAGGTGGATGGAAACTTCCTGGACAGAGCATTGACTTCCAAACAGAGAATTGGTTACACTTCTGTGCTCTTTTATGCTTCCTGGTGCCCGTTTTCACTCAGTATGAGCCCAAAATTTGACATTCTCAGTTCCATGTTTCCCCAATTAGAGCATCTGGCAGTTGAAGAGTCTTCAGCTTCACCAAGGTGTGTAGCTACTTCTACTGCTTAGTGTTTGTGCACGAAGTATTGAATTGCTTTTTCTTGTGTTATTTATATGTTCTTGATTACAACGGCTGCCAAACCTTAAAGAGGGCATATTCTGAAAGAATTTTAACTGTTAGATTTGACCTGCTTATAGTGTTTAACTTGATTTTAAACATGCAATTATTTGGTATTTTTTATGATTGCATCCTTATGTTCTAGTCAATTTGAGTGGCGTTAGTTTGGTGTATGGTGATCAAATGTACTTGAAAGCTTCCTTAAGAAAAAATTGTGTGTGTGTGTGTGTGTGTGCACATATTCAATTTAATTAATTTGTCTGCTAATGTCATTTGGTATAACTGTTACTTGTGGAAACAAACATTTACGTCCACATTTCAATTTTACAAAGTTGTTACGCCTTTCGAAGTAGACCCCTATCAATTATATATTTTTGCTGTTGTTTTATCCCAACCATGATGTAACATTAGATGCTTATGTCTGCTACTCAAGGAAAAAACTGAATATTACAATTCTGCTGTGTGATGCCTTCTCTTTTGCTCCTTAATCATGATTCCATAACTGATGCAAGAATCAGTTCTCCTTTTATGAAGAATCTCCTTTCAGGTGACATTGCTTCATTGTTATTATTACATGATAGAGAATTATCAATCAAATAAACTGTTCTTTTGCTGCCCCTTGATATCTAATGACAAATATCATAACTAATACCTTTGATATATGTTGTATCACAGTATATTTTCAAGGTATGGAATTCATAGCTTGCCATCAATTTTAATTGTCAACCAGACGTCAAGGGTACGATATCATGGTCCAAAAGATCTCCCCTCAATTGTACAATTTTATGAGAAAGCAACGGGTATTTGCTCTCCCATGCCAAAGATACATGATGTACCACTTTTGCCTTTTTAAGGGAATAACTAAGCCTAGTTTGTGAGTCAAATCATAAATACATGTTTCTTAACATGAGTGTTTGCATTTCAGGATTTGAACCAGTTCAATATGTTACCGAAAATGAACCGGTTATATCAGGAGACCACAATAAATATATGATACAGTTGTGGAATGAATCATCCTCAATGGAGATAGTAAAACGGGAGCCCTACTTGGCATTTGCTGTGTTGTTTCTCTGTTTAAGAGTACTTCTATCCATACTCGCTGAATTACTATCTCGTCTCAAGGCTTTCAGGGTTTCATATGCACCACACTTGAACTTGGCAATATTTGGTGAGAGAAGTCAATTGTTTGGACGAGCCCTTCACATGGTTGATGTGAGGAGAGTTTGGACCAAACTGAGGCTATGCAAGAACAGGAATTTTCATCAAGGTGCAAAGAGTGCCCGTGTTTGGGCTACTTCACTGGCTTCTGTCTCTTTGGGAGAATCTGCTTCTGGTAGATCCTCATCCTCATCCTAGGTTAGAGTTTTATGGAAGCTGTCGATCAGGTAGTGTATTACAAACTTCACTCTTATGTTAAAATATTAAATTATATTGATAGTGTCGATACCTAAAGCTGTTGAGCTTGTTTGAGTTGGGTTTTTTTGGGGGGAGGAGCAAACCAACTAGCATGTAAATCTGGGAACAGCTTTATTATTTGGAGGAACATCTTTACTTAGCACATTAGTGGAATGTAAGCGTAACTTTTTTTTTTCTTTCTCTGAATCTCTCCTAATTGTTGTAGATAAGGATATTTTCCCATTCAGAACATTTTACTCTCCTTATTCACCTTCAAACTGTTAATCTTTGCACTCACTGAGATGGAGTGATATAACAAAAGGTATAAATAATATATTAGTATTCGAAAATTATTCAAATGAAATTTGAATTCGATTCGGTTATTATTGAATCGAATTTGAATTCAAGTAGTTTAATTTATTAATCGAATCGAGTTAAAATATTTTTATATTAAATTTAAATAGTTCGTGAGTTTAATCGAATTTTAATATTTTAATATATTTTTATTATTTTAATTAATAAAATATTTTGAATTTAAGTTTGAATTTGAGTATAAATAATTAAATTTTTATTGAATATAAAAATTAAATTTATTTTTATATATTAATCGAATTTAATCGAGTGATTTTTATTTTGAGTTGAGTTTAAATTAAAAATATTTAATTAAATTTGAATTTGATTGATTATATTTTTAATAAAGGGTTCAAATTAAAACAGCAAAAGTAACGTTACCACGTGTCAATAGAAGAAAAGAAAAGAAAGAAAAGGTAGAAAATGAGTTCGGAGAAATCTGGTAGAATTGCTAGTAAGTATAAAGGAAGAAAGGATTAATATGTAATTTAGCCTCAAATTATACGATTTTTAACATATTTATAGAAAAAAAAAAATTAGGGATTCAAATTTTATTTTTATCAATCATTTTGCATTAGTAACTAACATGATTAGTTAAAATTTGACGTGATAAATTTTAATCTATAAAATGTAATAATATATTATCTGTCACGATATTATTTATAGTGGTTTTGTATCTCATTAACTTACCCACAGAAATTGTATGTCATCGAAAATTTTTTATAAATGTCAAATCATGAATATGATATAATTAAAGGGCTAAATCATATAATAACCCACGAAGAAAGCAAAGGGAGGATGACATGTAACCCATGAAGAAATCAAAAGAGGATGAAATGTAACCGTGGAAGGGATCAACAAGATTAGGTCAATTACGAAAATTAAAAAGATATGCCAATGAGTAATTGCTTCTATATGGAATTATAAACCCAGGAAAATTTTTTTTTAGCACTGTTATATCGTCACCATTCATGATCAAATGTCGCATCCATGCTGCTTTTGACTTTTGGCTTTTTTTTCCTAATTTCGTCAATCAGACTGCCCTTTGGCCTTTGATCGGCAATGCAAGCTTAAACATTTCAAATACAAATTCCTTTATTTTAAGGCCATATGATGTTTGATGAATCGAATTAAATTTATAAAAAAAATAATTTTTTTTGTAAAATTTAAAATTAAAATTTTATTTTAAAAAAATTAAACTCTTTAATCACGTGGATCAACAAACATCGGTCAAATTCCCTTCTTTATTATTTGATTCCTGAACCACGCTTCACTTTTGCCATTGTTTGCTTCCCAAGTGAATCCCCGATTCCCTCCTTGTGGAAAACCCCAGAGAAGAAGCCTTAAGTTAACAAAATAAAGGCTTCGGATTCTGCTATTCTTCACAATCAAATACAGCTCCTGCTTAATTCACAATAAATTCTCCAAATGCAATATATGAAGCCTTTTGCTGCAACGTGTTCGGTTTCCATGGAAAATGACTTCGCAAACAGAATAGAAAAAAAAAATTCCTTCTTATGATTTCTTGAAAGATAAGCACATCCCTTGTGCATAAACCGACACAGCAAATGCATGTTGAAGAAGCAAGCAAGTGTTCGGTTGTCATCAACCTAAACTTGTCTGAATTCTAGTTTGGTTGTTGCATTTTAGTATTTCATACAAACTTAACATTGCTGCAAATGCAAAGAGTGTAACTGAAGTTGGATTTTAAAGGATGTTCGGATAAAATAATAATATCTTGAAATGTCAGTTTTTGAATTTCATGACAAATTATTTGACCTTTACCACACCTTTTTTTTTGTAATTTTTACCCTTTTTTTACACTGAAAATATATTATTTATAGGGAAATTTTTGGTCTAAAAATTTGTTAAAACAACCATCTTCATTTTCTACGATGATCATTCAACTTATTACTAATGATTATCAAATTAATTTCTTATTTATATCTCGTTTGAAAGTAAAAGTCTTAAGATCCATTTAAGACTTTTTATTTTTTTAGAGTGTGGCTGTCTATAGGACAATATATTTTAATCATCCTTTTATGAATTACGAGGAAGAGTGATCGTGAAAATATGCCTAGACAATAAAGGTTATGAGGTAAATCTAGAAGCTTTAGGCGATAAGAAATTTTTATCTTGCTTTTGTCAGCATGGGAAAAAGAAAAACAATTAATAATGGAAGATACCAGTGTATGGACAGTTGTATGGGGCTTTCACTTTCATCTTTTCCTTGCTTTTTTTTTTTTTTCTTCCTCAAAAACCTACAAGTCATTGTCATTCCAGACCAACTCATACAAGCAACCGAAACTCTTTCTTTTATTTCTCTTCATAAGAGTGAGAAGAATCTCTATTTGTAAAAAAAAATGAACACCGTGTCTGCATTTTTATCCATAAATTTGATAAAGAAGCCAAAAGAAGAAGATCTATGGTGATTTTGAAGAGGTAGAATTGGACTGTTGGCTTGTTTTTAACCAAAGTGTTGGAATTGTTATCAAACTTTAGCCATGTAAAAAAAAAAAAACATTAAAGAATTGAAAAGAAATATCCAGGAACTCCTTGAGTGAAGGCATTCTCTAGGTGGGTCCCTTGGACCACCATCCATTTGTTATCGTCTTTGGAGGATAAGCACTCGAAACTGTCATGTTTTTCTTGCTGATAGGTTCAATCTTTCACTCCAAAGAGCAAGAGGACAACATTTTGGAGTTGGCCTTTGTTCTTACAAGTGAAAATGACGCAGAAAACTCCATGTAAAGCCATCTTATTTTGATCCAATAATTCAAACCCCCGTACCCTTTACCCAGTTGCTATATCAGTTTCCCATTTGAATCAGATTTCCAATTCCTAAAATGATTCACCAGGAAATGGATATTGATCATGAGTGGGTTTTCCTGCCTGATAATAATTTCCTGGATATCAATCAGGATGGTGAAAAAAAAGTTCATGGAGGAAAAAGAAATTCTGACACAAAACTTGTTTTCCTGACAGATTACTTCAACAAGGAACAGCCTCCACCATCAGGAAATTCAAGGAGGGTCCCTAAACAGGTTGTTCCAGTTTCATTTCCATTGGAACAAAGAATCTTTAAGGCTCCAGAAAATGAGCTGGGGGAGGAAACTACCACAAGGGTGCCTATTGATGTCACTTCTACGCCAGCCATGATCCCTGAGAAGATCGAAGAACTTGATATTGGATCATTTGAAGGTGGTAAAGAAGTGAAGACACAAGTTTGCTTTAGGAAACCAACTTACAATGAATCTGTCGACATGACCAACAAAATGGACTCACCAAAGTCCACTACTAGGGGAATTATTCCTCAAATTGATGCAGCAGGTACGTTTAATTTTGATGAAAAAGGTGAGGTTTTGGAGAACATGACTTCCCCAAGAAAGAAAGATTTGGTGGAAAAGAAATTTGAGATCAAAGAAGATGTCACCTGGGAGGAGAACTCTGGTGGCCTTAATTTATGGAAATGGAGCTTAACTGGTATTGGAGCCATCTGTTCTTTTGGTGTTGCTGCTGCTACCTTTTTTATCATCGTATTGGGAAGTCAACAAAGACACAAACAGCAACATCAGAACCAGAAGCTGCTTTTCCAGCGTTACACTGATGACAAGGTATGAAAAATCTTAGAATTCTTGAAAAATTTAGTATCTAATTTGTTTTGCTTACCTATGTTTATGCATAATTCTATCCATTTTTAGTTTGTGTCATGATTCTTTTTGGTGATCCTGGCCATATGTTCAATGGATACTCAGAAAATGGGGCCATGATCAAGCAAGTAAATAACGAGAGATCATATTAATGATTTGTACTGGGAATCTTGGTAAATTTTCAGTTTTAACAGATCTGATAAATATACTTTTGAAATTAAACATGTTGACGTGAAATCAGAGTATATATTTTGTCTCCACTAGTACTCCTACCTACAATGCAAACAATAATTGAAAAGGATATACACATTTTATCATTTGGAGTCCAAATTTAAAAGCATTCTTGCAATTTACAGTGCAGCAAAAGAACTAGAAGGGGGAGGGGGCATGGAGACGTAAGTTTCTGGCCCCATTTTTAAGTGATACTTGTAGCTTAAGTAACCTAATTATTGTGATTGTAGACGATGAAGCAAGTGGTTCATCATGCAACCAAACTCAATGAAGCAATTTCTGCAGCTAGAGGAGTTCCAATCACCAGAGCTCACATAACATTTGGTGGTCATTATGATGGTCTTTAAAGCACTGCCTTCTAGAGAATCCGGAACCGTTCACCGGCTTGATCAATTGTTTGTGAAGTGTGATGGATTTGCCATGCCAGTTCTACAAGATTCATATAGTGTGTCTGTTTTTGTACATAATATGGATGCTTATTATATGGATTCTGAATCCTGTTTGGTACTCCTGAATTTCTATATTTTTGTGTCTATTTAGCCACTTAATAGTTTCAACTGTGGGAGGTGACCTTAGTGAAATGTCTACAAATTCACCACTTGCTAAAGTATATGATCAAAGGAATCAAACTGAAGGCAGAAATTGTCATGACAATAAAATCTTACCAAGATTATCATTCTTGGCAAGCTGTTATCCATTTAGATTTCATCTCTTGAATAGTTTTTGTCCCATGACTGAACCTCCTTTAGACAGAAAAATAACTATACAGAACTAGTGTCATGATTGATTTTGGGGACTGGGAAATGAAACAAATTCATCAAAGAAACCAAGAATCGGAATACCAAAATAGGCATTCAAAGGTCAAGAATTGCTTGTAATGGTTTTTGGTTTTTTTTTTTAATTTTTTTGCTTAGTAAAAATTTTCTGACAATTAAAAAGTTATTCAAGCAGTATTTTATGGATGGTAGTTTATGTTTTATTTTATTTGTTCTTTATAAGCACTTATCAATTTTAAATGTAATAGTTATACAATACGGAAGTGATATATTTTAAAATTTTAATAAAAATTAAAAATATATTTAATATTTATTATGTAAATAAAAATTATAATATAATAATTTATATATTTATATATATTTGATATAAATAATATAATAAAAATATATGAATTATCAACTTCAACTAATAGTCAATCTGTGAAGCACATGGACAGGCTTTTTAATCTTCTTTCAAATTCTGGTTACATTGGCTTTATTCTTGAAGAACACTTATCTTCAAGGGTTGAATAACTTAATCCATAATCCATCTTTTCTTGATTTCAATTCAGAACAAGACATATTTTCCCTATTAAAATATCTTCTTTAGGTGGTAATTTTAATCATCATGTGGAGGCCAAAATGGATCCAACCCAAACCCACCCAATAAGCTGTCGTATGAGAATTTTTTTTCCATTACAATCCCATGAAAATAGTTTAACAGGCAATGAAAGGAAAAGAAGATGACTGATTGAACAGCCAAACCATCCAAACAAATAGGATTTATTGAGTCATGTCCCACCTCAGAAAAAGATGAGTCCAACATTGCTTACAATTTGAATGCTGTATTTTGTGCGTAATTATCAAAAAAGGAAAAAGGAAAAATCGGTGATTTGGGGTTCACTAGAAATTACTGATGTGATTGCCTTCTCGGAAGGATGTGTTAGATGCCGTGTATGATTGCCCAGAAAAACCTGCATATAATGCAAGTTGGGTGATTGGGTTGCCATCGCAGGCAAACCTTAATAGAAACAGTTAATAGTTCCAAAACAAATAAAAAAAATTCAGAATATGCAAAAGTTGTTTTGTCTTTGATCGGAATCTTGATTTTATGAGGTTTTCCCTCGTGAATTTATTGCATTTGGTTTTGTTATCAATACCCCACTCGTTTTAAACGCGACATGAAAACAATATAAAAATAATATTATTTAAAATTTTAATAAAAATTATATATAAATTTATCAAATATAAAAATATATATTTTTATTTGATGTATTACAATAAATTTAATATAATAATTTTATATATTTTATATATATTTTTAATATAATATAAATACAAGAATTGTCACATCGGAGATTGCTACAAATGCATTTACAGCTCAATTGCTTGCGAGAATTGAGAATTTGATATGTGCACAGCTGGAGTGCTGGACCATCTGATATTGGGCTGTTGTCCTTTTCTCCTCATATCCCGGTGGTTGCCAAATTTGCAAGTGAGCCCATTAACGAATAAATGCATTATTTCTTTTCTAAGCAATTAAATTAGATTTATAATTTAAAATAAAATATGATGATATGATATAAATATGATACAAAAATAAAATATAAATATAATATAATTTAAAATTATAATAATAATTATATGTGAATTTAACAAAATAAAAAATTATATTTTAATATTTGTATAATATAAATTATTATATATAATTTTAATATAAAATATAATAAAAATATATAAATTTTAATATTTTATACGACACGAATATACGAATTATAATGTCTAAATCAAATTAATGCACTTACTCTTTTATAAATTTACTATTTTTAAGTCCATTTAATTTAATGGGAATAATTCTTTAAAAAAAAAATTGGGAACAAGAAAAAATTCTAATTAAATTATTTTTAGATTATTGAGGCAAGTTAATAATTATCATTGCTCAAAGCAAACTATGGCTTTGGCTTTGGTTTTGAGCTAGGCTCAGGAGTTTAAACTCTCTCTCATTTTCAGCCTCTGTTTGAACCAAATTGTCTTCCACCAAATTACACCTTCCGGTTTAACTGAAGGCTTTTCCGGTTTCCTATACCTCTTTATATGCGAGTCAACTTCCAAAAAAATAAATAATATTATATAACCCAAAAAAAAAAGAACCTGAAAATTTCAGTTATAAATTTTATATGGAAATCATCTTTAAATTTTTTTACAAAATAAAAAATAAAAATACTAAAATTTGAATTATATGTACTGAATGTGATTTAAAGATATTCACATGAAATAAGTGAATTAAACTTTAGATTCAGTAAATAATCTTTTTGGTGGTACGTCAAACATATGTTGTAAAGGAACAACAGTACTTTGTTTTTGTTCCTGAACATGCTCGTAGGCTGCTGGTGCAGGGACCAGTAGTATTTGGTAGTTTTTGAAAGATCTTCATCTCCAAAACAATGGATTTTCTTTAAATATTTTTAAAATTAGAAATTGGAAAAAAAAAATATATGTCCAGGGCTGCTTGGGAGACAATTGACGAAGAAATAAAAGCAAAGAGTCCCCTCAAAAGGCCTGAGTTGAAGTGGCCAAAAATATCAGAACCGATAGCTCTGGTTTTCGAATTGATTTTTGCCTCCTAACTAAACCAAATGCGAAACTTTGATTTCATTCACATGGCTACTCAAAGAGGCAAACAAATAAACCAAGAAGAGAATTAATTGGAAAACAATAACGATTAAAAAAAAAAACCCAAGATTTTATACGGAGAGATCGATTAGGGTTTTCTGGTTGAGGTTATTATAGTGATGGTTTAGAATAGTACACAGATGCCCTTTTTCATTCTTTTTTTTTTTTTTAATTTCTTGTTGTTAAATTGAGACTGTTTAAATTTATATTAAAAAAGAATTATTTTTTATTGATTAAACAATGTCTTTGATCGAGTCAAGGCTTGAAAAATATTATCCAATAATCAAATTTATCAGGTCGAGCAGCTAGTCCGATTCATGGATAAGTCTAACATTAGGGCTTTGGTTTCGGATGGGATGTACCTATACTTTAGATATAACTAAATTTTGCTACAGCTTTAATCTTTTTTATAAGCGATTTTAGTATGATGCTATACATAATTTTTGTTATAAAAAAAATTTTAATTTGATTTTAAAATATAGGATTTTAATGAGAACTAAATGAACATAGTAACTATGTTCTATGGACGTTAACGCCTATTGATCCAATTAGTTAAAGAATTCAATTTTTTTTAAGTAATGTTTTTATTTCGAATTTTATAAATAAAAAAAATAAATATTAAGAGAATTTGTTCTCTTTATAAAATTTGATTCAATTTAATTTTAAATTAATGAAAATTTAAAATAATTATTAAATACCGAAATATCTAAAAAAAGACCTATGTTCTATGGACGATGATAATGTTTACTTTGTCAATCGTACCATCGGTGTTGTGAATTTAGATGCCAAATTGAAAGCTAATCATCATGTGAGAGTCAGAGTTTCCACGGTTCACATATTTGTTGCTATGATTGGTTTTCCATAGTCGTTTCTATTTGCAATCATTCTTACCTAATTAAAGAATGCCATTCAAATTTCCCCTTTCAATTCATAAATTCAAGTTTCAATTGCAATAACAAAACCAGCTTGGCCGTCCATTTCCTCACTTCAATTTGTGTTTTTTTTTTTTTAATCTTAAGAGTAAGTTTTGAAGATTAACACCCATTTACAAGAGCAAATTGCCAAAGGATGAGCAAGCAAATGATTCATTAACCAAAAGAAAAAATTTTGGTGTTAATAGGATTACTTTTAAATTCAAAGGGCAAATTGCTTTTTTTTAGAGGCCGATCAGTAAACAGTTAAAGATAATTTTAATTTTTGATATATATATTTTTTATAAACAAAATCATTCAAATATTATCTATTCATATAATTTTTTCTACTTTACTCATTTATTTCTCTCTCTTTATCCCCTATAATAGATTTCTAATTTAAATATTAAAGCACAAATGCAAAAAATATTTTTTATTTTTGCTTTTAATTGCTCTCTTTCACCCTAATTTCAAAAATTCAATCTTCAATTTGAAAATCGATCCTAACAAGTGTGATAGAAAAACAAATTAATCCTCCTAAAAAAAAAGAATTCAAGGAGAAAAAATAGAAACAATAAGCAAACAAATAATTCATTAGGTCGCAAACAAACAAATCACATCAATTATACATTAAAATGAAAACAAAAAGAAAAGTATGAACATGTAGAAAGAAAAAAAAAATCCTTCAAGCTTTGCTCTCTTTCTCATCCATATAATGCACTAACAAGAGTTGTATGCCCTTTGGAGAAAGAATCAAAGAAGATAACTTGAAACGAGAGAACTCTACGTAAGCCCCAGTCAGAAAAAACATATATATATTGTAACTCATTCAACACCACCATTTTAGAAAAGAAGGCCAAATGCAAGAGCAACAAGGGAAGCAAACACCGGTGGCACGAAGGCGGTGGCATCTGAAGTTGGGCTAGGGGCTGGGGCATCAGCTGCCGCCACATTTTGGACCGCAAACACGGCCATCAACACTATCACCATGGCGAAAAATAGCCTCATCCTCAATGCCTCCATTGATTGTTGATGAAGTGTTGGTAGAATTTTCCTAGGGAAATTTTGTTGCAATGAGTGGATGGAAAATGTTCGCAAAGCAAATTGGGACACGAAGCAAAGTGGGTTGGCATAAATTTGGATTTTATATAGATGATGGGGCAAGAGAAAATTTATGGGGTTAAGGCTGGCTGCCCGAGGTGACTGTTGGTCCACATGCTTCTCCTTTTTGGGGCTGCCCGTTTGTTGGGACAGGGTGGCTTTAATCTTTAGGTGCCATACAGCTGTCGCCAACATGTTTTTGTGGCCAGTCTTTGGAGGGTCCCTTGCCTTAACGATCCCTTTTTTTTTGAGTCAGTGTACCTTGTAAAGACTATTTTAACCCTATATGAAATCCTGTTCTGTGGTTTGAGTTCAATTTTTTATGGTAATTTTGGTATTTGATGTGATTAATTGATAATAAAAGATCATTTCAAGGTATTTGGCTCTTGGGGTTTCACAGAAGTTATTTTTAGTGTTTTTTTATTAATAATCATTGAAGTTCAAAATTTTTAATTATTTGCCGGAAATACAAGTTGGTGTAGGCTGTTGGGAACCAATGATTCACTGGCATGCACCAATGATCAATCATTTGCCCAATTTTGTACTGCTTTTGAAAGGATGGCATTGGGGTTTACTTATAATTTATAACCAATTTTTTCTTTATCAATTGCAAATTTGTGGCAATTAAAGGTAAGGTATAATAGTTGTTCATAATTTTCTTTTGGCTATAGTTTTTGTTAGAGAAAACCCAAAATGTACAAGGTATTACTCTTTAAGACAAAATTTAAGATTTATTATATGATACATAATTAAAAAAAAATTATAATTATTGTGATTTAAACTGTAGATGAAACATGATTCTTATAAATTTTGGGTTGAAAACATTGTGCCCAAAATTATGTGAAAAGAAAAAAAAAAACTTTTAAAGTGAATTGGGTTTTTTTTTATTGGAGGTTTGGAAATTATAATACAACAGAAGTTAACCCAATTCATATTAACCAATCAAGAGTCCCAAAATTAGAACCCCAAAGTAACTACATCTCAACCTCACATTTACAATTTCGTGACAAGAGAACAATATGGTTCACGTGCAATGGTTTAGAGCCATGCGTCATACCAAATTTCATGCCTAAGGGTCGCCAAATTCTTTCTCATTTTCCCCCAATTTCTACAAAGCCACAATCTCCTTCCATTGTTCAAATCCACATAATCAATATCAGGCAAATTAATCATGATAATCCACTTTCTTTTTTCGTGTTTGATGCAATTAAAGATTTAATTTTGATCATTAAAATTAATATTTAATATTTTATTAATAAATCATGCAATAATTGATAAATACTTCGTTTCCATCCAATTTTTTACTTATTTCAATATTTTTATGTTAAAAGTTTCAACTAATTAAATAGAAAAGGAAAGACTTAAAAAAAAAATGTAACTTCATTCTTATACAAGACAAATATATCATCTTATTATGAATCATTAGGTATTAAATTTTAAATTTTAAAATTATTATATGTTATTTTTAAAAAAATATTATATAAATTAATTAAATTAAACTTCAAATTTAATAAAATAAAACACATAATATATCATTTCATTGCTTCTCATTTCTCTTTGTTTCTAAGCAATCCTATTTATTCTCTCCTTTTCTCCCACTTCTGTTACCTTTTCTCTTCCTTAATTTTCAATCCATACATGCACAAGTTGTCACCAAACGCAACAGAATTTAAGAAAAGTACCATTAAGATAAAGTCAATGCAAAATGACATCAAGTGTTGAAAATGAACAGTGCAAACAATCTTCAATTAAAATTTCGTGCCTAGAGACAAGTTTTGCATATATCATCTTTAGAGTAGCAATTATGGCCCTGGCCAAATTATCAATGACATGGGGTCCCCTTCTTTTTTGATTAGTCTGACTTTGTTCATGTTATCATTCCAAATGCAACGGTCCAACTGTCTTGAACTTTTTCCCAGTTTTTCCTTTGATTATTTTGATACGTTTGATTCAAATTTTGAATTCGAAACTTAAATACAAAAAAAAAAAAAAAAGTGATAGTGAAATCAAACCAAATTTATCAATCAGATTTGAAATAAAAGATTTTATTATCACTCATGTCTAAAATTGAGATTTCGCTTAATATGCAATTTTGCATCTCTAACTAATATAATTTCATCAAATGTTATTTGACTTTTGTTATTACACTTCTCGTACTTCATTTTGTTTGGATTTGATTCAAGTGATGAATACGAGCAAAATTTTATTAGATCAATGATTTGAATCATGCTCTATTATCTTTTGATAATACGATAAGGAACATTCTTGAAATTTTGTCCAAACTTAATCATGCTCTATGATAAAAAAAAAAAGTTTTCATTGGCATTTATCATTATTTGTTTGTAACCGTGGATATTGTTAGAATTCATGTATGTTAAAAGTGATAATGGTTCGAATTGAATTGGATTAAGTTCGATTTTTTTGAATATTGTATAATATTATAAAAATTTAAAATTCGATTTGAATCCGAATCTCCATTCAATTTAAACTGAATCAAATCGAATTTTATTTGTTTGATTTATTAATTTTTAATTTTTTATATATTATTTTAATATAAAATTTTAATATATTTAAGTAAATTTTGATATAAAATTATTTATTTTATTTTATAAAAATTTAAAATATATATAAAAATTAAAATATATATAATTCGATTCGATTCTTTTTTTTTAATTTTTTACTTCTCTATTCAAAATTCGATTTAAACTTAATATATATATATATTTAATATCTGAATTTAAGCTAAATCGAATTAAAAAAATCAATTCAAATTGAATCAAATATTATAATTTTAAATTAATTTTTAATTTTTTCCTCGCCCCCTGTATACTATTTTCAAATAGAGTGAAACAGAGCTACCCATCGGCTTAGCTCATTGCTGTTTAAGTGAGAGGGAGAGCTAAAAGACTGGTTAGAACACAAAAAAACAATGAGATCAAATTTTTTGGTATAACTACCAAATCAATAGAATCCTACCTTTAGCATATTTAAATTACAACACAACTAAAGAAATACTACCTTTGTCTTATTTTAAGTGTCCATCTTTTTTTAATGTCCTAAAATGACTTTCGTAAAATTTTTAAACACTTTCTAGTTTTGCTTTTTTCTAAATTTAAAATTTATTTTTCAATTTTTTATTTATAATAATAAAAAATATGGTACATCAATATTTTTTAAAAAATAATTTTATAATATTACGTACATAAAAACTAAAACTTCTTTTTTAATATAAATGTAATAACGGACCCAAAATTTTTTAGAAAGTATTCATTTATAATATATATATATATAAATAATATTGATGGAACATATATATATATATATATATATATAGCAATGTTGATGGATTTGATAATTTTAACGATAAGAAAGATATTCATAAAAAATATTTAGAGTGTTTTAAGAAAAAAATTTTTCATTTTTAAAGGTGTTAAAATTTTTTTTAAATGTTAAAAAAAAGATTTTCCTTTGAATTTCTTTATTTTTTAATTTTTGAAGCATCCATGAACATTTTCAACATATCTTTTACATCTGCCCATTGCATGCATGAAAATAAAAAAACGACAGGAAAAATGCAAAGTACTTATTATTTCACAATTCAGTATAATCAAATGATTAACGATCCATCTAAGAGTCTGATTAAAAGTTTTTTTTTTTTTTTTTTTTGCATAGAAAAGGTACATTTATGGTTGAACCTCTGACAAGCATCGATTAACCCTAGTTCAAGGCAGCATCCCATGAAATGAGAAACAAGTCAAAATAATTTGCTTCTGCGATAGCTTTAGTTGACTTAACATCCGTTTGTATCCTATCGTATTTTTTATATGGAGTGATTAAATTTATTGTATTATTATTTAAATTAAAATATTAATTTTAATGAGATAAAATTAATATAAATTTTTTATTAAAAAATTTTTAATTGTAATTGTAATAATTTTTTAAATTTATGGTTATAATAATGTTTATTATTATTTTTAATTTTATTGTAACTAATCTCATTATGTATTTAAATAAAGTCTTACATTGCCAAATTTGTAAGATGAAGCTGGTTTCCCTAACGACTAGCTCCTAGTTAAAAATGGTTGTTTTACTCTAAATTATAAGGTTGAATTTCAAGGCCAAATTTTCAAATTCATATGCTTTGAAATCAAGCAATGGTAATGAAATGTAGGTCCCAATAGGACAAAATAGGGAAAGTGAGGATTAGAATATATATATATATATATATATATATATATATTCATCTGTTTTCTAGTTGATTGATGCTTTTCAAATGATTAATGAAAAGAGATTTTATCGCCCGATGACAATGAATGGAAAGTGATTTTTATTGCGCCAATCACGTTTGATTATCATCTTTATCTCTTGTCTTCGGATTTTCAAGGAGTATTTTATTTATTATTTTTAATTATAATATTATAATTAATTATTTATAATTCAAAATTATATAAAAATAAATATAATTTTTTGACAAATTTTATAATATTAAATTATAATTAATTCATTATACTATAATAATTATAGATAATATACTTTTAAATTTTCGTTAAACAAGCCTGTGATTTTGTTTTCGCTACGCGAGGCTTTGTTTTGGAAAACAAAATGTTAATGGTATGGGCAACCAAACATCACGTTAAGGTTTTGCTTCTCTGCAGATTCCAAAAGAAGAGATTGTTGTTCTTATTCAAGAATAAAAAAAAGAACACTACTATTGTTTTTTACGGGGAACTCTAGATTTTGTGGCCTTTTTATTTATAACTTGTGAGGGGTTAGCCAACTTGGCTTGGTTTATTAGTGATATTTGATTTAGTTTAAACTTAAAAAGTATGTGTATAGTTAACATAAAATAATAATTTAACAGTAATTTAACATTGTTAATTGTTAATTTCATAAGAATTGCAAAGTATTTTAGTAGAATATAAACACAAAGTAACGTTACAAATTAATGAAATAGAAACATGATATATGTGGTATTTAAGTAGAATATATAACATTTTGTTTGTA